TACTTGTGCATTATCTGTCGACCAATAAATCATGCTCGAGCTTGCCTGTGATCGTTTCGAAGAATTCCCACTTCGCAAGTATGTTCCCGTAAATACTTGCGAATTACGAAGCACTCATTCGTGTCCATCTTAGTTGCTCTCAAGCGCCAATTGCAACTGTCTTCGACGCAAGCAACTGTCAACAATGACTTGTTTGATTTCTTTACCTTGAACTCAAAGTTATATTTTAATGCCAGCCGGTGAACAGCTTCCTGCAAATCTTTCTTGGTTTCAAACAGTTGCCCGACCTGCAAGTCCTCATCATCGAGAGCCACACGGGAAGAATTCGAGGACGGTCCACTTGTTCCAACCTGTGAGCTCCCACCAGGCTCGTGTATGTAATGTCAGCCGGTGAACAGCTTCCTGCAAATCTTTCTTGGTTTCAAACAGTTGCCCGACCTGCAAGTCCTCATCATCGAGAGCCACACGGGAAGAATTCGAGGACGGTCCACTTGTTCCAACCTGTGAGCTCCCACCAGGCTCGTGTATCTGTCGGGATAAAGCAATCAAATTCTCATTTGTAAAGTCGTTTATGTTCTCATTGTCTTCAACTGTTGACGGAATTCTGCGCGTAACAGCGACATCACGATCAGAAGCAACTGTCTCAGGAATACCCACATCATCCGCAGGAACTATCTCCACTGTCTCCCAAAAACTTCGATCATTGTTATCCGCCCTATCCGAATCTTCACGTTCACCTTCGATAACATCCTTCGTAATTAAAGTTACACCAAGAACAGTCGGAGTCCGATGCATTTTATTCAATTCTAATAGATAATTCAATTCAGCATCATTAGTAACGAATACCGGTGGCATCGGAATGGATGAATCCCCATAACCGTTGAATAGATATCTCAATTGCATATCGTATTGAGATTGATCGACATTCAGCTTATTTTGCAAATCGTGGTACATTTCTAAATATGGTGTACTCTCTGTTACGGGAATTGCAATACAACCACGTATGTCACTCGTCCATCTCCATTCCCACCGATTATTTTCATTTAATTCAAAATCACCGAAATAACACACGAGGATTATCATATCTGCATGAGGAAATGGTTTTAATCAACTTCAAATATTAATTATAAGAAATAAAAAGGCAAAAAATCAGCTGCAACGAAGGCTGTTTAATAGCCTAACAGCCGGCTGTTAAACAGCCGAACAGCCGACTGTTTTCGGCTGTTTTACAGCCGGCTTCTAAACAGCCGGCTGTTGGATATTTAACAGCCGGCTGTTTCAGACTATTTCCGACTGTTTGTTAAGTTATACCAGTTTGGCATAGGAGAATACCGTTCTAAAAACGAAATTAAGCATGCGTAATTTAAACTGAAGCTTTGATACTCGTGCCTACGCAGCCTTTGTTCGCATCTCTCATCGATTCCCCTATGGAGAAGAGGAAGTAAGTTATACATCCGTTTAATTTTTTTTTTTTTTTATAGGTTCTGTTAAAAAAAATCTATGTCGACATAAAATTTCTCTTTTTAACGTATACTAATTTACTTAAAACGAAATTAAACATGATTAAATGTACTTACCGAATTGAAGTAATTGATGTGAAAAAAAATTTCAGCTTCAACGTTCCAAAGTTCTTCTAGATTTTGAGGTTCAAGCAGATGAAAAGATGAGAGTTTTTTCTGTGTTGGAAGCTCGTTTTGAAGTTTTTATAAGTTGGAAAATGTTTGGTTTTCAATTATTAAGTAAAAGGGTAGTATAGTCCTTTCAACAATATATGGTTTTGTAATTGTACAAAACATTTAAGGGTATCTTTGTCTTTCACCATACAAGAGGCCAATGTCATAATATTCATTATTTTGGAAGTCAAACTGAAATTTTGCTCATTTGACCGGGTCAAAATTAAAAGTACCCCCTGAAAACCATTCAATCCAGGCGTCTTATGGAAGCAACAAGAAAAGGCAGTCAATCCAATGGTTAAGGTAGTGACACTCGGCAACATCCTGTTAACTCCATCCACTACTAAAAATACGTGAAATTCAAACACGCCTCTAGGCCAAAAAATTAACGGTCCAAGTTAGTGATGGCAAAAAAATCAGCCCGCCCGTCCTAAATGGGGCAAAAAAAAAATCCACCTGATGGGAGGGGTAGGGCAAGGGGAGCAAAAAAAATTGAAAATAATTTTATTTTTAAACAATTCACCCGTTAAAAAGTAAAAACACATTTTAAATTTGTATTTTATTTTCTAATAATAACATAACTCGAAATTTTAAAAATATAAAATAATAATAATAATAATAGACGCGGCAAGCCA